ATGAACGTGTTGTCATGTGTCGTTCTGTAATCGACAGCACCACGTTCCTTTTTTTTCAGTAACTTCGATGTAATCAGAGGACAACTAGATGTCCTGTTTTCTCGAATTGTCCCAGTGCAACGAAGGCCTTTCTTTGTTATCTCTTCCAGCAAGGGCGTCCCAGTAAAAAAATTATCAAAAACTACGTGGTAAGGAAGGTCGAAGCCACGTGAAATCAGCACATCGCAAAAAGTGAGAACAACGCTTGCACCCAGCCCCAATTCTTTATATATTGGATTGCACATAGTTGTAGCACCTTGGTATGGTTCCATCCATAAAACATACCCTAACCGTGTAGCACCAACCCAAGCTTTGAACCCGTACCTAATAGGTTTACCTTTTATGTGCTGTTTGCAGCCATGTCTACCATAGTAGGGGATCATGGCCTCATCTACACTGTAATGCTCTTCAAGAGGAGAAAACTCTAAGAACTTTTTTATTTAGAAGTGTAACTAGGGGGGCGTACTTTTGTGTATTTGTCTTGCAAATCCAATCTGGATCTGGATCATTGACATGAAGGTGGCGAAAAATAAAGTCGAATCTATCCCTAGTCATAGCCGAGCTGATCAATTCATTCTTTGTCTCAGGGGAGTTTTCCCAATACATTCTTCTACGGGAGAGCCATGAATAACCACTAACCAACAATATGCCGATGAAACATTTCATATCTTCGGTGGTTATGTCTCCAGGCAAATTCTTTTTGACAGCATATTTATTGCTCTCTGACACCAACAACGAAATAACATCTTCATCTAAGAAGTTTTCAAACCACTCAATTGGGCGCTTATCTTGGCAAGCGCCTTGAACATCTGGCCAATTCACGGGATTTTTTGCCAAGTCCCGTTTTCTCCATGCGTAGGTACGCCTACGTTTAGTTCGACCTGTAGAATCAGAAGGTTCTTCTTCTGTATCACTCACCATAATCTGCCCTTGAATCATTACTTCAGCCGGTTGAAGCAGAATGTTTCGTGGCAAATTATTCAAAGTTACATTATCTTCTTCACCCGAATCTTCGTCAGTGAGACAGTCAGGATCAACAGGAGGAGGTAGAATACATATCAGTCGTTCTCTATAATCTTCTTCATTATCAGAAACATTTTCTAAAGCATCTAAAATTTCATGCGCAGCTAACGGTCTGTAAAGAAAAAGTTGTATTATTGTACTAAAATCATGTATATTATCCTACTGTCCTATATATAGTACGCTAGTATTTGTAACAAGTTATACGTAATTTATTTATATTATTTTGCTAGAATATTTATTTAGTACAAAAGTTAAGGTTATCAACTAGATATTAACACAGAAAAAAACAACTCACGAGTAAAATATAACTTTTTATACATACCTGTCATTTGCCATGTCTGCAACGCACTTTTATTACACACTTATAAGGTAAAATATAAGGTAAAAACTGTTAAAATAACTGTCTTTTTATTTTTTCTAATAAAGCTGACACGTTTCTTACTGCAAATCATAAGACTAAATAATCTTAGATAAAGAGGGTATTCTGATATTTTTTTTTATTTCTACTGTCCTAAATATAGGACAGTAGGCTTATCTGGGTTAACCCAAACTATTTAATATTAACATACAACTTGTAGAGCTATAGATCTTTCACTTTGTCATTACGGCGTAACCTTTTACAAGTTTTGGCGGGAGCGTACGCGAGCCGCGGTTGGACGAAAACAGCGCAGGTGGCGCGCGGACAGTGCTCATGAGCGGTTGCGAACCGTATTGACCGTACAGAAACAGAAACTTTTTATTCAAAATGGATTATAAACAATACTTATTGAAAGTCACTTTTTTCATTTACCACTGGTTCGCAAAAAAGCCTCTGTTCTGGGAAGAGCCAGAAAGAAACTTTTGTAAAAAAAATACTGTCCTATTTTATTTACAGCATTATCGACTTCAACGGCCTCAAAAATCATTAAAATGACACCCAGGACGAAAAATTTATACCTATTGCAGCTGTCATCTTGGATTCACGTTTTACCCGCTAAAACTCCCATATAAAAAATTGATACAATTGTAGCCGTCATATTGGATTTATATTTCGACAGCACTATCGGCTTCAACACCCTCGAAAACCATGAAAATGACACCCATGATGAAAAAATTGATACATGCTGCAGCCGCCATCTTGGATTCACGTTTTGACAGCACTATTGGCTTCAACACCCTCTAAAACCATAAAAACGACACTAATGATGAAAAAATTGATACATTTTGCAGCCGCCATCTTGGATTCGTTTTGACAGCACTATCGGCTTCAACACCCTGAAAGTCATGAAAATGACACCCATGACGAAAAAATTGATACCTATATCAGCCGCCATCTTGGATTTACTTTTTGTTACCACTATCGCATAAGTCCACGATTTTATTATAATCGATCACACGTACTTATAATTCGATAAGGATTATTAAAATAACAATAAATAATTCTAACCTTTCAAAATCAGCAGGAAGTTTAAAATACGATAGCTCCGGTTTCGATAAAGCAGAGTTAAAACAGCCGTATACTATGCAATACGTTCGTGGCATTTTTAAAAAGATCGTGGAGATTAACGTAAACAATCGTCTTGATGCGACACTCACTACTAAGATTACCGCGACGTTCGCTTAGGAGTCTCGTGCATGTTTGTGTGTGCCGTTTTGAGCGCTTGTAGGTAGTTTCCGTACTGTTCCATATTTATACTGTGCCATTACTGAATCGCCGATCTTGAAATGCTTAAGTGACCAAGAAATTCAGCAAATAGTCCAATCTGGTGGTGAGGGTGAACTTTGTTTTTTACGTCTCCCATGTCATACCCAGGCTGTTGAATTGACGACAGAAGCGACCATTTCTCAATGTAAGAATTCGTCATGATTGGGGGCCATAAAAGCCGAATTGGAATCCCGTAAGAAAATGCTAAAATTCGAGATGAAGAGAGATTTTAAGGCAAATTGACGCTTTGTTTTTTAAAACATATGATTGAATTTTGTTTCACTTTATTTAATTATATTATAAGTATTCTAATTTATAATCTCTAATTAACTGTTATTTATTATTTATCTTAGCACAAACATACTAAACTTTTTCAATAAAACATTAAACTTTAAGGCCCCTGCGGAGGCAGACATATTATATTCAATTGAGCTGATAAAAAGGTAAATTGACATTAAACATAAGGCACTAATCCCGCGCTATTAGATTTTAAAATATGAAAACAATTTTTTTCATACAACCGCGCTCCACGCTAACGCAGATTCGACGACTTCCTGCCTCCCGAACAAGCCGGTTTTCGAAAAGGCTTAATTAGCAACATAGACCACATATACACCCTTCGGCAAATTGTACAGAAGACCGAAGAGTACAATCTGCCGCTTTGCCTTGCGTATGTGGACTATGAGAAAGTTTTCGATTCCGTCGAAATTTGGGCGGTGTTACAGTCCCTTCAGCGGTGCCACGTTGACTGTCGGTACATCGAAATGCTGAAGTGTTTATACAGTAGGGCTACGATGGTTATCCGAATACGGAAGCAGAGAGGTGTAAGATAGGGTGACGTTTATATCCCCGAAACTTCACCGCTGCATTGGACGAAGTTTTCAAGCTACTGGACTGGAAAGAACACGGTATTAACGTCAATGGCGGGTACATCACTCACCTTCGATTTGCCGACGATATAGGCCTTATGGCAGAATCGCTGGAGGACCTAAGAGTACAATGCTCAATGACCTCAATAGTGTCTCCCAACGGATAAGTCTTAAGATAAACATGGACAAAACAAAAGTCATGTGTAATGTCCATGTCACAACTATGCCGGTAGTTGTTGGTACCGCTAAGCTCGAAGTTGTTGACGAGTATATTAATTGTTGTTGTTAATTACTTGGAAATAGTCCAAATAGGTAAGTCCAACTTCGACCGAGAGATCAATCGACGGATTCAACTTGGCTGGGCAGCGTTCGGGAGATTACGACACATCTTCTCATCAGGCACACTCAAAACCTAGAAACGAGATCGTACAACCTATGCGTGTTGCCAGTGGATGATCTATGGATCAGGGACGTGCTCCTTCACTGCTGGCCGTATGAGGAAGCTCAAAGTCGCTCAGTGAGCTATGGAGAGGGCTATGCTCGGAGTTTCTCTGCGAGATAAACTATGGAATGAGAATATCCGCAGTAGAACCAGAGTGACCGACATAGCCCAACGGATTAGAAGGCTGAAGTGGCAATGGGCCGGCCATATAGCTCGTACCGGCAGGCGAAATGTAGGGCCCCACTAGATGAAGTGACGTCCTAGTAAGACATGCAGGAAGTCGATGGATGCAGGTGGCTCAGGACCGTGCTTTGTGGCATTCTTTGGAGTAGGTCTATGTAGAGCAGTGGATTAAACGTTTAAAAAAATGTTTTTGAACAATTACTTTGCCCTTGAACCTGTGATCCTGCGAAGTGACAAGGTCAAAGGTGCCTACTAAATTTACTGCCGTTCGTAAAGTATAATCATATTAATTAATTTATTTATTTAATACAAAATTTTTGTTTTTATTTTTGTAATATATTAGTGCCATAAGGCTTCTACTCCGCTTATATGTTATATAATACTTTGTTGTTGAAATTCAAACATTTTAAGCTTTTCAATGCATTTTAATTAAGTAAATTGGTTTGTTTGTTTCAGTTAAAATTTACTAAGCTGTTCAACTGTTTAAAACATTTGAAGACGCATTTTAATTGTGTTGAAGAAAGTGATGACAATAATTCTTTAAAATCAGAATCTAAGGAAAACCAAAAAAATGGAATTTACAAGTGTAAAATGTGCTCAAGTACTTATTTGCACTCATCTACACTTACAAAACATATTGTCTCAAAACATATAAAAGTTAGATCAAATTAAAATTACTTTTACAAATAAATTTGTTTTATTAAGATGGTTTATTACTAAACTTACATATTATGTACAAAATAAAACAGTATCCCATTTTTTAAAATATTTCATCTGAAAATATATTATCTAAGTCATCTAAGAGATCACTACTGCCAATGACATGACCTTCATGGCCATCTGATATGTTAATCTCTGAAACAAGTTTAAATATGATCACAATAAATAAACCAATATAACAGATACAATACAATATGTAATAATACACATACAAACCTGAGCTATGCCTTTTCTTTTTGATAATTGTGATGTCTTCAGAGGTAACTTTTTCATACCCATCAGGCAGTGACTTCTCCTCATCTTGAACTATTATAGAACTATGTATAGCCAAAATGTTGCTTATAGTGATATTTAAATAATGTTTTTTAAAAGCACTGCCTGTTGTTAATACAGTCGGCTTCCATAGTATAAGAGTAGAGTACTCAGGAACGATGTATGAAGAAAAACTGGACCATGCGTCCCTGTGCAGTGTACATTTAATATACCCTGAAAATACAATAAAAATTTTAACAGCACTTGGAAAAGATGATGTTATTGATACTGCTATCGTTATGATACAAAATTTGAACTTGTGCTGGATGGATACAGTCATGGATCAATTGTGACCTATCCCGTATTTATAGATTGGAAAAACTTGTTAGATTTGTGAAGTTGTATTTCCAATTCGCTACGTATTATTGATCGTAGAGATTGTCGTGTGGTGACGGCGTAAGTGAATCCATCACATTATGCATATAAATACGACATATGGTAAGACATGCAGTAAGTCGATGGATGCAGGTGGCTCAGGACCGTGCTTTGTGGTATTCCTTGGGGGAAAACTATGTTCTGCAGTGGACTTGTGAAGGGCTGTAATGATGATCTTTAATTAAAATGAGACTGATATTATAGTATAAAACTCAAAGTACTTCAATGTTTGTTCCTATGTATGGGGTGGATTTTTAGTGGATAAAAGTGTTAACATACATATTATTTAAAGGGTGATTATATTGAATTATTTATTTATTTACGCCTTTGTAATGATAACTTATTATTACTATTTGCTATATAAATCGATATTGTTTAAAAAGGGCAAAGTATCGATATAAATATCGATACCGCATTTATCTATGACCAATTGTCTTTGAGAACTGTTAGAGCGGATCTTAGGATTAGTTCATTCATTCTTTCCTGTATAAGATAGTTATATATTCTTTGTTCATTCCATAGACAAATTCATTCGTGTTGTAACCTCCAAGAGAGTAACTTGTGCGGAATAAATCTGTGTAAATCTTTTAAATCCAAGTTTATTTTATTAATCTAAAAGTGAACTTTACATCTCAGAAGTGGGATAAACAAGACCCATAGTGTATTTATATTAATATTCAAGTAATTACGTTTTTTTTTCCACGTGTCATTTTTAAGACAATTAAAAAAATATGAATAACGAAATAGAAAACGACGATGGTCGTAGGAAGTCACGATCACGTCATCGTAAGAGAAGAAATTCTCACCGTGAATCAGAAAGTAGATCCAAGCATAAGAAACATCATAAAAATCGCCGTGACAAAGAATCGAACAAAAGGCGACGTAATACACATTCTACGGACTCAGATGGAAGCCGTCAAGATAATGTCACTCGTCGTCAACGCGCGAGATTAAGTGAAAGTGGAAGACGTCATTGTCTCACACCAACTCCAACTGGGAGCGGAACTCCTTGTCGCGAATCGGCGGGTGGTTGTACACGCGGACGTAGATCCCGTAAGCGTCATCGTGGTGATCTACAAGAAAATCTCCAGCCTCGTGTGTCTGAAGGAACAGAAACGTCGCGTCGCAAACCATCGACTGAAGCAGGTAGCGATAGTACATTACATATCTTATCCGAGTTAGTAAAATGTTTGTCATCTACCCGCCCTGATGGTAATAAGTTTCCTACGTTAGGCAATGTGGTGCCCGAATTTGATCCTATGATTAAAAGTCAAACAGTACATATGTGGTTGAATAAAGTGGACGAGTGTGCTAAGTTATATAAATGGGGTGATGACCAAATCATACATTATGCTATACCTAAGCTGTCGGGGGGTAGCTAGAATATGGTACCAAGCGTTACCCACTATGTCGTTCTCGTGGTCTGATTGGAAAACAAAACTTATTGAATCCTTTCCCAGTAGTGACGATTATGCCGAATTGTTGACTGAAATGCTGTCTAAACGAGTGAGGTATAACGAGTCCCTAGAGCTTTATTATTACGAAAAATTAAATTTATTAAACCGTTGCGAGATCGAAGGTAAACGTGCCGTGCATTGCATTCTTTATGGTATAGAAGATCGTTTGGTTAGGTTGGGAGCTAAGGCTGCCAAATGCCAGGAACCTGAACAAGTTTTAGAATATTTTCAGTCAATTAAACAGCAACCCCGTGATTACAATAAGGGAAGGAGCGTTCAAGATAAAAAAACAGCCTTCGCTAATAATACCCCATTAACTAGTCAGAGGCAGTCGCGTACTACATCTAATTCGAATATTATTTGCTATAACTGTAACGAATCGGGGCATTATAGTTATAAATGCACGAAAAAGACTGTAAAATGCACGAATTGCGATAGGTTAGGCCACTTGGCCGAAAAGTGTACAAGGGTTCAAACAGATTCCAAAAATAAAAGTGATAGTTTACATGAGAAAAACGTCATGCAACTAAAGCTTAATAACGAATACGATAGTAAATACAAAATGCAAGTTAATGTAAATGGTACTGTGATCGAAGGCTACATAGATCTAGGTAGCCAGTGTACTTTGATGCAGCAAAGCGTTGCAAAAATGTTAGGTTTGGCATGGGCTACTCGAGATTTACCATTACTACGAGGGATAGGGAATAATACAATACTACCCGTGGGCTTGGCATTGGTAACCTTAGAGATTCAAGGGATTTCTGATGACATAAATGTTTGCGTGGTCGATGATAGTATTATCAAATATCCCATACTTGTTGGTTATGATTTTACGAAAAAACCCGGAATTGTCATTACTAAAACTTTCGAATCTGTAACTTTTACTCGTTACCCATCGAATAAATTTAAATTATTTCTACAAAGTGACGTAGCGCTCAAGGCAAATGAAATGATCGCTATTCCAATACGCTGCGATAGTGACTGCTCAGGAGACTTATATGTTAACGGTACGCTGCGTGGTATACCAGGATACCAGTACTATTTATTGCCTGGCAATTATAGCGTTAGTAATGGTACTGGCGGTTTAGTTATTCAGAGTGTTTCGAAAAATTGTATTAACCTGAAAAAAGGCTCGTTGGTGACGCGCGCATTACTTTTGAATCGTACTCTCGATGTAAACGTTTTAAACCTTGATGATCCCGGTGCCGAATCTGATCTTCATGTCGGTGAACAACTAAGTAACGACGAATTGTCGAAATTAAAAGATCTTCTGAAAAGGTTCGAAACGTGTTTTTCAAATAGTTTACGTGACTTAGGAATGACAGACATAGTAAAAATGGACATCGAGCTAAACGATAACAAACCTGTCGTTTACCGACCATATAGATTGTTGTATCCCGAAAGAGCGGAAGTTCGATCAATGGTACAGGAAATGCTTGACGCAGGCATTATACGTGAATCAACTTCTTCATATGCAAGTCCAATTTTGCTTGTCAAAAAGAAAACTGGGGAAAAGAGGCTGTGTGTTGATTATAGGGCCCTAAATAACAAAACACGAAAAGAGCATTACCCATTACCATTAATTGATGATCAGTTAGATATGTTGTCGGGAAACTCTGTTTATTACCTTAGATTTGGCGTCCGGATACTACCAAATTCCTATATCGGAGCAATCACAAGACAAGACTGCATTCGTGACGCCCGACAGACAGTATCAGTACACGCGCATGCCATTCGGCTTAGCCAATGCACCTTCATTATTCCAACGTACAATGAACAAAATATTAACTAAATCTAAGGTAAAGTACGTACTCGTTTATATGGACGATGTGCTTATACCGGCGCAAAATTTTGATGAGGGTCTCAATCGGCTAGAGGAAGTTTTGGGGTTATTACGCGAAGCAGGGTTAACTTTGCGACTCAAAAAGTGTTACTTCTTCTTTGAGGAAATAGACTTTTTGGGTTTTAGAGTTAATGGCAAAGGTATCCGTCCGGGTGCAAAAAAAAACAGATGCTATTTCTAAATTCCCTCCACCACAAAATGTTCACGATCTGAGGAGGTTTATCGGGCTTACAAGCTCCTTTAGACGCTTTGTCCAAAATTTTGCTCTTATAGCACGACCTCTTACTGATCTTTTGAAGGCAAATTTTGAATGGACCTGGACTCACGAGCATATAAAAGCATTTGAAACGTTAAAAAAAGAAATTAGTGGAAAGACCGTTGTTGGCCCTCTATGACCCAAAGTTGGAAACGGAATTGCATACGGATGCGTCGAAACAAGGAATTGCCGGCATACTTATGCAAATGGGACGGGATGGATTGCTTAGACCAGTAGCGTATTATAGTCGGAAGACTACCGCGGAAGAACAGCGTTTCCATTCTTTCGAATTAGAAACTCTTGCTGTCATTAACTCACTTAACCGATTTCGCGTTTATCTTTTAGGTATAAAGTTTAAAATCGTTACCGACTGTAATGCGCTGCGGACCACGCTAACAAAAAGGGATTTGTTACCAAGAATAGCACGATGGTGGGTGCAATTCCAGGAATACGACTGCAATATTGAGTACAGAGCCGGGTCACGAATGGCACACGTTGATGCCTTAAGTCGTAGCCCTGTGGACGAACCCTCTACTGAAGATGAGTCGCGGGTGATCGATGTTTTACAAATTGATGTAAAGGACTGGATCGCTACAGTTCAGAGTAATGATGATGAAATTAAAGGCATTAAGGAGGTACTGCAAGATAGTTGCACGAAATCTGTTGCAGACATTTATAAAAATTTTCAGTTGAAAGGAGATCATGTTTACCGTATAGTTGATGATTGTATCCGCTGGGTAGTTCCAAGATCAGTAAGGTGGCAAGTATTACGAATGAACCACGACGAAGTAGGACATTTCGGTTTTGATAAGACTATTAGTCGTCTGCAAGGTATGTTCTGGTTTCCCAAAATGAGGCGTTTTACAAAAAAATACGTAACATCGTGTCTTGAATGTGCGCATCATAAGGCCCCGGGTGGAAGGAAAGAAGGCATGCTTCATCCTATCCCCAAAATTGAAGTACCATTCCATACAATACATGCCGATCATTTAGGCCCTTTCGTACGATCTCGAAGAGGCAATACTTATATTTTGGTTATTGTAGATGCTTTTACAAAATTTATAAACATTAAACTGGTTAGAAACACAAAATCCACAACCGCAATTAAAATATTCCGCGAACATTTTAGTTATTTTGGAGTCCCATCTAGACTAATAACAGATAGAGGTACATTCTTTACGAGCGCAAAATTTAAGTCGTTCACGAAGGGCTTAGTTTTGAAACATATATTAAACGCAGTTGC